AAAGGTGCTTTTTTCAAGAGGCAACTGGACTTTCTGGTTTTTTCTCTTTGAAGACGTTTTGCTTCTCATCCAAGAAGCTTCTTCAGCTCTGACTGGATGCTGGGGGATGGAAAGATTTATACTCCTTGCAGACAGCTGGTCATTTGCATTCTTTTTAGAGAGTCGTTGAGGCCACTTGGAGGTTTATCTGTGTCCTCAGGGTCACCTGAGTGGTGCAAATGGATCTGGAGCCTTCTTGGAACTGTTGAAAGGACTGTGTTGTAGACTGGCGATAGATGATGTTGCATCCCCCCCTCTCTGTTGAGAGAGGGCTGTTCAATTTTGACATAGCAGTTATAGCAGTTAGACTTATATACCGCTTCATAGAGCTTTCAGCCCTCTCTAAGCGGTTTACAGAGTCAGCATATCGCCCCCACAGTCTGGGTCCTCATTTCACCCACCTCGGAAGGATGGAAGGCTGAGTCAACCTTGAACCGGTGAGATTAGAACCGCTGAACTGCAGATAACAGTCAGGTGAAGTGGCCTGCAGTACTGCACCCTAACCACTGTGCCACCTCGGCTCATAAACATATGAATCGTATTTGCACAATATATCGGTTGAAGTCAGGTGGTGGCCAATGTGGCAGGAACCTAGCCAATGTCTTTAATCTATGGTTGAGCATGTTGTGTGAACCAAGGCCACAGCTCAGCTAATCATGGATAATTAGGTTGGGAAAGACATGGATCATAGCATGCACGATGCATGCATTTATAGGGCTCCTGGTATGTCTTCTGGTGAAGTCCCAACCTCACAAAATCTACAGACACTCACAACATCTGCAAACAAAAGCCGCATTTATTGATAGACAAACTCGGGAGCAGTCACGTCAGCTGAGAAGACAAGGGATCCCAGGACGACATGCCCCCCCCCCCCTCTTCATTGCCGTTCATACATCTCCTTAAGGATCTTCATGCTCTCGGCATAGCGCAACTGGTTCTTCTGTGAAGCTTCTTTCCACCTGGAAACAGGCTGCAAGTCAACCACTGCACATGGATTTTTGCACTACCCTTTCCACAAACTGTTTCCCGCTACACGGCGATTCTCGCACGGGGGCCAATAGCTGGAACGCCCCGCCTCTGGCCCACAGTTTGGCTTTCTCTTACACAAACCCTACCTTTGTCGGATCTTCTTCCATCTCTCCATGTTCTTGTAGATGAGGGTGGACATTGAAGGGGCCGCTTCAGAGGTCTGGGAGGGTTTACGGGAGAGGAGAAAGATAAGACAAGACCACTTATTTGCTATGAAGCTAAGATACTGTACAAATGTCGTAACAAGCATCTTCAATTTAACAAGACTATCTGATACGGTTGCTAAATTAATAGGAAACTTATCTGTCTGTGAAACGTGCAATCCTATTTTCCTTTTTGGTTTATTTTTACTTATGTTGATTTAGTGGGTGGCACATCTTCAGTTTTTAGCTGCATTTTTAAGTTTATACTTACTGTACACTAGCTGATAAAATGGCGCTGCCCAGATATTTATTTATCCCAACCCTCCTTCCATGAATGTCACCACAGTTTCTAATGATGAATTTCCCCACTTACCAGAGGGAGCCCCCTTGTGGAGTATTGTGAAGCCGTTACCATGGAAACGCCACATGCTGTACAGTAGAAGCCATTTTAAGGCAGTACGGTAGAAGCCGTTTTAAGACAGAACAGACTCTTAACAGAACACCAAGGGGTATTAGGGGTGTCTTACCCACACAATATTTGTTTCCAGAGGGTAAGTAATCTGTGTACCAAGTTTGGTTGAAATTACTCGAGGTGTTCCAGAGTTATGCTAGACACACACAACCATTTATATACATTAAGATTATTCTGACTCATTCAGCTTCCTGTTTTCTGTTCCTCCCGTTCTTTTAAATCAAAACTTCTTCTAAGTATTCTTTCCTCATTTGAACTGAGACAAGCGTTCTAAAATAATCCTCCCCTCCAACATCTTGACACAAAAGCCTACTCTGTCCACACAACACAATCAGATCAGTTGAAAATGCGGTGGCTTGATTCATGCCACAAACCAAGCTTTGGTTGGTGGGATTGTTATTCTGTTATTGTGCGTGTATACGGCTGCATAATTTATTGCATTACCTGAATCCAGGATGTTTAGTTTATGGCATTGTGAAAACCCAGAAAAAGGGGAGATAATTTAGCAAAATTATTTCGGATGTGATATAGCAACATACAGTTTGTTTGTTTTTAGCTTCGATTTAGGTTTTGACATGTTGTGTGAATCCAGGAGTGGTGCGGTGGCCTAGAGTTGGAGCTCTTGCCTCACAATCAGGAGGCTGTGAGTTCGATCCTGGGTAGAGGCAGAGATTTCTCTCTCTAGGCACACAGAGAATATATCTGCTGAACAAAACTCCGCATTGGCGACAGGAAGGGCATCTGGCCATTAAAACACTCTGCTAGCTCCATTCAGTGGCCCAGACTCCGCCCTGCAAGGGATTATGGGGTCAAGAAGATGATGGTGTGTGAATCCAGCCAGACAATTGAAAATACATTTCAAATTCAAAATGCTAGTGTTCTCTTAAGAGTTTGATGCACACTGGCCCATGTCGTGCTGATAGTGAGAGGGGATTCAGATGAGGAAAGGTCATTAAAATCCCTACCGTTTGCTATTTTACCATCCAACCTGTTTTTTCTCATCCCCATCACCCCCGCTCCACCTACCCCTCCCCCCCAATCCTTAATTTTCAGGATGCTCTGACCGTTTCAGCAGCCACTTTTGTTTCCTCTTCGGATGCTGGTGGGAAGGGGATACGCAGGTTAACGGGTTCTCCCGCAGGATTTGTCTGGCAAGGGAGAGGCGACGGTAGCTTGTAGACATCCTGGATCTTCCCATTTAAGACTTCGACACCCTGGGATCCCAGAGTTCAAGAGAGAGGAGAGGAAGACGAGTTGAGGACCGAACAATAAACAAATAAATAATGGCTTCAACTTTCGCAGCCTTCATCAGACTTGTTCTTGAAATACAGGGTTCCACCACAAAACCGCGTTCGACTAAACCGCGTTCGACGAAACCGCGTAGCTGACGTCATCAACAGCACGACAACAGCGCAGAGACAGAAGCACGCTGTGAACGCTAAACCTAAAATTAACCCCTAAACCTAACCCCCNGGGAGATGATCAAAACAACATTTGGGCAAAGTCTAGTATGACTCTGCACTTCCTCTGGCCCTGCCATTAGCCAAGCATTTTCAACTTCATCACTGATTTTCTCATTTTACAAAGACTCAGGAAGGCAGCAGCAGGGAGGAATTTCAGGACAACCACCCCCCCCCAAAAAAAAGGCAGCCGGGAGGAAAGACGGGATTTTATGCAAGCCTATTCTAGCCCTGCAAATCCTGGAGCTGGCTCTCTGTGTTTTGCATAAGGGAAGCAAGCCCTCCTGTGTTGCCCTGCTAGCCTATAATCTTAACGTGAACATGTTGGGGAATGAGTGGCATAGACCATATGCCTGCATGGTGTAAGCTGATCCACTGCTACATCCAATATCTCAAGAGTCTGATGTGCTATAAAGATAAAATACAGCCGGCAAAGGCATTTGAAGGCTCATCAAACGTGCCAAGTTTTAGCTGGCTCTGGAGCTGTCGGATGAGGAATATCTAATTAGCAGCTGACTTTACTTTAATTTCCTGCTGCTGCCAACATTTAAGTCAATAAAAAATGAGAAATCTTTGAATGCAACATGGTTGCAGTACGAGCTGTAAATAAAGCCACAGCTTGAAAAGTCCCCCAAATGAGCCCTCAGGCAGTGAAAAGCCCCCTGCCCCTCATTCCCCTGCCCACCATTGAATGAGTTACTTGGTTACCACTGGACCTCTGAACATGCCTCTGAAAAACCAGAAGGGGAAGGCTGTTCTCATTGTAGGGCAGTGGGGAGGGTGGGGGAGAGAACAAGGAGCAAGAACAACATTTTCTATTGCACTGAAGGCGCTATGGATTTACGGGCTTAAACCCAGACCCAATTTCTTTGGAAGGAGTCCCTGTCCTTGGCTCAGTTCTAGACTTGAAAGCTGCAGCTGATGATGTAAATGCTGCCATTGTATGAGGTTCCTGGGGGAGCCTTACAATGAGATGGGTCTTCCCTTCTTTTTCCCCACACTCAGGTTGACTCCATGCGAGTCAGCCTTAAAGGGATAGGAATTTAGCCAGAGCTCTTTAATACTGTCCTACAATTGATTGTTTGGAGGATAACAGGACAACTCCCCAAAACATCAGATTTTTAACCATTGCTCTCTGTGTGTCTACGTTGGAGAAGGGATACCTGTTATAGTAGCTATATAGTCCCTTATTTGTGTATTGTTTCAGTTTTGGTTTTCTATTTGGGGTGTGCTCAGGTTTATACAAATCAAGACGACAGCCCAGAGCTCCAAGATAAAGCTTATACTTGATTTATGCACAGAAAGTCCTTTGTTCCCTCTCCCACATTTTTTGGCTTAAAATGCAGAAGCTGTTTTGGGAGGCTGAATTTGGGCAGGTTCCAACTGGTGTAAGGGAGCATACAGCCAGGGGTGTTGGAGATCTGACAGTAAGGGCAGTTGGGAGGAAGGGAAAGCAAGGGAACAAGGGCTGTGATGGTATTGGCTGGTTGTAATCTCCAAGCAAAAGTGCCGTTGAGTGTTACTGGGTCTGCAGTGACTTGCAACTCCAGGTATTTTTTTCCCCCTTTCTTTCTTTTAAACTTGTATGCAAGAAATTTCAACAATTTCTCCATTTCCCCAAATGGGTGTGAGACCAGATATTTCTTATGAGAAAGGGGTCCCCCCCCCCATTTTTCACCTCTCTTTTGCAGAGCAGGCTTTTCCCCCAATGCAAATGAAAAAGTCCTGTTCTTGATGGGGAATTTTCTTTCCTTCCCAGTTTCTCTCTCTCCTCCTCCTCTCTTCTCCTTCAGTTAGATCAGTGTTTCTCAACCTTGGCAACTTGAAGAGGTCTGGACTTCAACTCCCAGAATTCCCCAGCCAGCATTCGCTGGCTGGGGAATTCTGGGAGTTGAAGTCCAGACCTCTTCAAGTTGCCAAGGTTGAGAAACACTGAGTTAGATACATGTCAAGGGCTATCAAACAGAATGAAAACAGAGAAAACATGGGGGATCCTGTGCCTGGCCATATCCCCATCAATGCTATGTTATACACACTTCCCCTGATTGCCCAACACAGGCACCCCAGAGGTTCTGAGTTGCCCCCTCAGCCTTTTGCAGACTAAACATGATGGAATAGCTCAGAGCAGAGTATATCAGACAGAGTAGATTTATGTTAGTGGGCAAAACCTCCAAGTCGGACGATGTCACAGATGCCTCCGATCAATACCTATCAATAGTAAGCAATCAAAATAAGCTCCAACCTGCCTGGCTGCATAGCCACAGCGCCACCTTGTGGTGCAGGTGGCACGTAAAGCAGCAACCGTTCTGTTTCTTATCCAAAGGGAAATAATGATGGCGATCCATTAAATGCCAGTGCAGCATATTTAAGAGCTAAGGTCACCTCATTCAAATCTACTGCTGGTCCTTCTCCTACTTCTCCAACTCCATCTCCAAAGTCCCTTTTTACATGAAGCTCTTTTACATGAGTGTGCAGGGAGACACAGGACATAGTACCAGTCCAGGGGTGGATTCACTTACTTTCTCTACTGGTTCGCAAATGTGAGCACTCTCCCTTGCTTTGCTTGTACACATGACCTCCTGCACAGGTGCACCGCCTTCTGCACAGGTGCAGAAGGTTGTGCATTACGTCAGGGCGGGTGCGCGAAGCCTCCTGCAGCAGCTACTACCGGTTCACCCGAACCGGAGAGAACCAGCTGAATACCACCTCTGCACCAGTCCTAAGAGCCACTTGTCATATTCCTGAGATTTCAACAATGGATCTTCAAAGGCAAAGCTTTGGTGGAGGCTCTCCAAGCAGTTACTGCAGTTGTGAAGAACATCAGTTCTGCCTTCTCAAGTCCCATTCTCACAAATGCAGCATAAGATGCTGGCACAAATCGTCTTTCTTTGTTGTCTCGATGGACTGTGTATATGCTTGTATTTCAATACTTTTTTGGGATGCCCTATAAGAAATGCATGATGTATTGGATCTTTGAAAAGTTAATTCTGTTTTTCCCCCTGTTTTACTTGGTAAAACTATTTCAGGCTGTCAGGTTTTAAAATCCACGAGAGCACTTTCTATTTTATCTGATCAGGATGATCAAGGACTGGAAACCCAGCTGTATGAAGGGAGTATAAGGAATCTGGGCATGTTTAACTTGCAAAGGAGAAGATTAAGGAGTGGTATGATAATGGTCTATAAATATCTAAAAGCTGTCACATGCAAAAGAGAAATTTATTCTCGGTTGAAACTTAGAACAGGACGATAACCAATAAATTGAAATTAAAAGCAAAGAGACTTAAACTTAGGATCAGGAGGAGTTTACTGAATATCAATGCTGTTAAGCAGTGGAACTGTCTGCCTAGCAACCCCCTGACTGGAGGTTTTGTAAGGAGACTGGATTGACATCTGCTGAGGCGACCCAGGGGATGTGGATAAGGTGCCAGCCAGTGGTGGGTTGCAGGTGGTATGCCCCAGTATGGACGTATTGGAGACTTCCCAGAGCACCGGATACAGTGCTCTGGTACAGTGCTCCGGAGGACCCACCCGCCCACCTGAGCTCCTTACTGGTCTTTTAAATCTTCAGCGCTTCCGCACACAGCGCATACAGCACCTGCGCGATGCACCGCTGAGCACCTGGAGCATCGCGAAGGCTCACGGAGGAGCTAACATGCTTGCCCGTGTGCTGCGCATGTTCATGTGGATGCCGCCGGACCTGTTCCAACAGTACCAGTTGGAACGGGATCCGGAACCCAACACTGGTGCCGGCGTAGAAACAAGGAGATGGTGAGTTCTAGGCCTTCCCTTAGCATGAAAGCCGGCTGGGTGTCTTTATCAACCCAACCTTNCATTGTCTCAATTTAAAATTCATTCCTTTGGCATCTTAAATAACGTCTGTGAAAACAAAATATAGGCTTCTTTTTGCATGGAAAACCAATTTAAATAAGGGTGGTCAATGACTGGTGCCCTAACTCAGCTTGCTGACTCTCTAGAATAGTGATGGATAACCTTTTTGGTACCAAGTGCCCAAAGTTCATGTGTGCATGTGCCAATGCACACATGCGTGCCCCAATTGTAATGGCTCCTCTCCTAACTTGAGAAAGTAAAGGCTCTTGAAACAAGATTATTTCAAAAGGAACCTTTAATCAGTCAGGACGGAAGCTATTAGAAGCAAAGCAGCATCTGAAAATCTTTAGGCCATGCAAATGGGATTAAGCTGATAATAATAATCAGGGTATTGGGAGTGAAATTTTTTCAATAGGGCAGGGGCTCTAACGTGATGTTTCTCTACCCATTCATTTTGGGCTGAAGGTAAATGCTTCCAAGCTACTAAGTATTGGGTTTTCCCCCGTTTGCCACCCTTCCAATGTTTCTTGGTTGCCAGTCGGGCTCCACCCGGATGTTGAGATTTTCAAAAATTTCCATCACCAACTGGGTTACATGCCTCTTCAGAGGATTCTCTCTCAGCAGGGCTTCATTTAGCTCCTCCTGGTCAGAGGGAGCTTCTAACCCCAATTTCCACCCTGTTTTCAGCTACCTCAGGTAAGAGTGACTCCCCTGGTCTTCCCTTCCCAACCGTCTTTCATCCCAATTCCGATTGACCAATGGGGCTTTTTGGGGTCCTTCAGGCTCACCTCATTCTCTCTGCCAGGGTACAAGGAGCAGGTCTCTGGTTGTGGAGGGGTTTCCATCTGCCTCCAGCAGTCAGTTTCCCCTTGTTCGCTGTTATGCTCAGACATGGTTTCTTGAGTCCCCACGGAGGGATGTAAAAATGTTTCTCTCCTGGTTGACCCCTTTGCAGAGAGATGCNATAAACTTTGATTTTTTTTGTTATTACATTCAACTAATAGGTTTAAGATACTTTTGAAATTTAACTATACTCTAATTTGCATATTAGTTCTTCCTAGACTACATCTAAATTTTAATTATACTTTATCTAGAAATGCCAAGATCAGGAAATTGAATGCAGAGAAGATAAATGAAATTTTGAAATGGAGAAAATAGTAAAAGGGAATCATCATACATTTCTTCTACTTGGTCAATCTTGCATTCCAAAATTCATGAGGAAAATTTTGAATTAGTGGGTGGATAGGCAAATCTGGGTGTCTTCCTTTCCCTTATTTTCTCTTTTATTTCAAAACTATTACATTCAAGTAGCTTTTTAAATTTTATTTAAATATAAATATATAATTTGGCATCCATGCTTCCCAGCATATTTTTTATTTATACTTTTGCTTGAGATGCAATTTTAAATTGTTTCCCTAACAGAAAATGTTTTGATTTATTTTTATGAATATATGCATTTGAAATTGATTTCCTCCTTATGTGTACCTGTGCATGTGTGAATTTCAATTTATAGCTGAATTTCAATAAATAGATTGTTTCAAGGAATCATAATTAAGAACTTTTAATGTTCATAGTATCACTCAAATTAAATCTATTTCCTCACCAAATTAAATCTATTTCTTGAATAGAAGCTAACCATTGGCTAATAGAGAAGAAAGATCCACATTTGACTTAGCCAATCTCCTTTGCAGCAGTGCAGCATTTGCAGTAAAATAACTCTTTTTGGCTGTCTCTAATATTTTTCCCAGCAAAATAATATAAGATGCATGAGCTCAGACACCCAGACACCAGTTTAAGCTTTCTCCTTTAGTACTATTGCAAAAGGGAAATTTTTATGCAAGCTCTTTTCAAGGAAATTGGTCTCAGGCTGATGTCATTTAAATTCAGGTTCCTCCTCCTCAGCAGGGTGACTAGTGAAATTCTGTTATAAAGTTATTTACTGCAAAAATATCAGCTCTTTATTCTGCCACAAAGCATCTTTCGCTGTGGAGATACAATATAAAATTAGTACTTTGTTAATACTAGGATTTTAAAACATTTTCACATTTGTTTCATTGCATTGGATGGAGAAAGTTGATTGGAAAGGTAATTTATAAAAGTATTCTTGCTTTGGGAAATTTTATGTGGGGATGCCCTTTCCACAGACTAGACAATGGTCAGCTAAGAGGCACCTGAGCTCATAGAAGGAATGGGGGCATGGAAAATATTACAGAGGGAACCTTCCATAGTTTCTTGGACTGTGAAGGTGGAGGTGAGGGTGGATAGACAGATGTCCTTTCAGACATGCAGGATTAAGAACTGATAATATTGTTTATGTTTCTTTTTGGGACTTCCATGCAAGGCTGACATTCAAGGTGCACCTCTGAATTTATTTTAGCCACACCTTAATTTATTTTCCTCTAGCTTTTGGGGGTTTCTCCAAAACATTCTTGCACTATTTCTTTGTCCAAGTTGACAACACATGAAGAATCAGGTGGATAGTACAGAATGATTATCGCACACATCCTTGAACATGGAAATATAGCATTCAATGAAGGAAAGTATTTCAGTAGGCTCACCAACATTTTTTCTAACCAGGCAGAAAGACCATGTGTGGTGCTGAAAAATTAATAACATGAATATATTAATAGCACAAATGTAGGTTAAAAAATAATCAGAAATGAAAAGAATTCATTGGACAGCTTGGCTATAAAAGTATTATTTTTGTCCAAATCAGCAAATTCAATGATTCTTAAATCTCTTTCTTTCCCTGACATGTTCTTTCTCTCTCTCTCCCTCAATCCTTCCATCCCAAAATTATTGTCCCTTTTAAATTTTTTTGTCTTTTCTGTAGTTCTTGAAGTACAGCAGCAACAGGACTTTTATAAAGATGAGAGTATTTGAAATGGTCAACTATATAAATTGGGTAAGAAGAAATGGCTAAAGTTGTTTCTGGTTTTGGATTAAAATTCTCCCTGCCCCAATGCAGATTTTCATTGTGTTCACATAACAAAATTAATGAGTAAGGCGATTTAGGAGATGGACTTCTAAAAGAATGTTGACTTTTCTGGTTTTGAATGCGCCAAAACTCCATCATTTGGTAAGCTGGTGATCTAGCATGGAAGCCTAACTCAGAAAATGGGTTAGTTTAGTAACTAGGTTAATAAGTCTCTTATGTGAATACAGCCACTGTGTTGGGAGGATGCAAGTGCAAAACTATTACAAGAATTCAGTCAGTGCGACATCTCTGTTATTGGATCCTTTCAGGGCTGTGGTCAATCTTCTGAATGTGGAGATTAAACAGAAATGGACAGAGTAAGCCTAGTCCAAACTCAACTGATTACGAAGATGACCCCTGAGAAGAAAGCAGAAGAGAGGAACCCAGTTTGAGTTGGATTGAGGCACTTGTGTCTGCTGCTGTCCTATTAGCCTTGTTGACATCTTCACTGTTGATCATTTGTTAGAATCAGGGGGACAACAGGAACATCAGTGGGTGAAATCTCCCTTTAGTCCTCCTCCTCCTCTTCTGTTCTTGATTGAAGAGAATAATCACCTGGTTCTTGTTTATCATTTTATTTCTTATATGGTATAACAATAACAATAGCAACAACAGTAATAATAATAATAATAATAATAATAATAATAATAATAATAATAACAACAACAACAACAACAACAACGTTACCTTAACAACCTTA